AGGCAAGGGAAGTTTCTGGGGTCCCTTTCACTGAGTTACTGTTCTTTTTGCCCTTCAAAAGTGGGTAGGCGGCTCTGACCCTTAGAGTAAGGTTAAGTAAAGGTGGAGCTGCAGAGGCTGCTCCAGGCAGTAGCTTAAAATCCTATATGGCCCTTTAATTGTTTTTAATGTAATTATTAATTGTTTTTGGTGAAACATTCTTCTAGGTCATATAACCCTGGTGTGTCCACTTGCTGTACAGAGGTAACTCGTGGTTGCTGTGAAGCCAAACACTGTGACATAGATGAGTCATATGTGAGAATGGTTACCCATGGTGGACAGTGTTTGGTGGAACTCCTCAATTGAAACAAGCTTGTACGAAGGAGTGGCATCCACTCCTGTAATAGCTTGCCTCTGGAAACCCTATGAACCTGAAGAAAAAACGAAAGTTATACAGGTGTCCAAGTCTTTAGTTCACAGGGTTGCTACTGGTCACAGGTACTTAACAACAACAGCAATAACATGCCCAAAGTGTGTGAGGCAAAGCCTCATCATCCTTGCCTCCAAAGAGCACTCCGGCTGCACCCTCTCCAAGACCTATCTGTTCTATTGGCCATCCATGGAATGGATATTCAGTGCTCTTCTTCAAAATCACAGCTCAAAGATATGACTTTTTCTTCTGTCAACCTTATTCATTGTCCAATTCTCAGATGCATAGCCAGTGATAGGAAAGACCGTCGCTTGAAACTGATCTCAAGCTGACATCATTACTCCTCAATAATTTGGAGAGGTCCTTAACTGCAGACTTTCCAAGTGCAAAATGTCTCAATATTGTGGGGGTAGAACTTCTCATATTTGTTTGGCTTTATTGGTTTGCATAAATAATGCATATACATTGTGTTTAATTTATGTACATCATGTTTTATACAATCTTTCCTTTATGTTTCATATAATCATTCATATGTTGTTCTTGTTGTTATTATGTGCTGTCGAGTCGCTTGTGACTCATAGTGACCCTATGTACAACAACCCTAAACTCTGCTCTGTCCTATGACAATCGCACTGTCTCTGGCACTCCCATCCCGATTATCCCAGTCACTGAATCAATCTACCTCATAGAGGGCCTTCCCTTCCTGTGCTGTCCCTCCACCCTCCCATGCATGATGTCCTTCTCCAAGGGCCAGTTTCTCCTCGCAGCATGTCCAAAGTATGTTAAATGGAGCCTCAGAATCCTTGCCTCCAAGGAGCCACCCGGTTTAACCCTCTCCAGGAGGAATCTGTTTG